TTTTGGAAAATGCATGGTTAAAAAGTAGGAATTTTTTTCTAATTTACATATATAATTATTTTATTGAAAGAATGTGTAATTGAAAACAAGTTTGAAAAACAAAAAAATCAAAAGAAGAAGAAGAGTTACATTACAGGGCTAAAATGTTGTATCATCAGTCCGCGGAAGGATCAGTTAGCCCTAGAATTAAATGGGTCAGCCTGATATTGAATTGAAGCTTCCTGGAATATGGATTCACATTTGAATCGAAAAGGCCCATTGAGTGGATTTTTTAAATTTATTTTTTAAATATAATTATACATAAGTAAACCTAATTCCTGTAATTCATAAAAAATGTTAATTGTTAGTGAAAAATTAAAATACCATTTTTAAATGTTAAAGATATTTAAAACAATTGTAAAAGGGTGTAAATGTAAAATATTATTTTTCAATAAAAAAGATGTATTTATGAAAGAAGAAGAAATTGTTGAAGGGGATATTTTTAATTTTGTTGAAGAAAAGTATGATAGTTTTGACGTTATCTCCCCAACCCAATTAGACTCGATCTCATGTCGTAAATGTGTTAAGTTTTCATTCTTATCACTTAAGCTAATCTTGATTTCAAAATGTATGGTTTTTAAAACTATTACGTAGATTTTACTAACAGAAGAGGTTAAACGACAATCTAGTTAATAAATAACTTAATTGTTACATCAATTTTTATTGATCAAATTAATAGACAATTATCGAACAATTAATTAAAATAAGGTTTTATTGTGAAACAAAATGAAATTGGGTAACTAACTTCGATTTAGAGTAACCATTAGTGAAATCTGAAACTTGGTAGCTCCATTTCTTTCATTGGAAAAATTATAATTCATAAGAAATAGCTAAAAATCACTGAAGACCAATCAACTTCAGCAAAATCTCATTTTAGTCACTTAATTTTTTTCTGGTTCCAAATTCGACGCCCGAGTTTGAAAATTGTTTCAATTAAAGTCGCATATCATATAACCATGTTCGTACCATTAATTAGAGTCTTAAAGTTCGCACGTGGTCAACTATTTTTACTAAAAGTTGAGTAACTTAAATGAAATTTCACTTGGAATTTCAATAACAATGACGTCCAATTGAACGAGATATTGCATTAATAATGTTGTCTTTTTTACCTTGAAAAAATGGATAGACTTTTGTAACCATACAGTGAAACATGAAACCCCACAAAAGCAAACCTCCACCGCCAATTTCAAGAAAAGGACGTATTGCCACTTCTTTCCAAATTTCAAGCCCTCTAATTCCAATAAAATTGTCAAATTTCTAAACAGTAATTCCAAC